GTCTGACTGCTGGTAGTGGCATCGGCATCATCTGCTTTTTTGTGTTTATGTGCAAGATGATAACGCATCGAACTCGTTGTGGAGTTGTAGACGAGTGTGGCGCTGCACATCTTACACTTGACTGTTTTCTCGTCAAGTTTTTCAAAGTGTTTCCAGACATCGCTGTGCGCTTTAGAAGCCATTTTCGCTCTGTGCTCCGGTCTTGTCTCTACACCGCAACTTCTCACAGCTGTAACCAATCAAATATCAGACTACCGCCCAAATACCAGCATAACCTATCAGAAAGAATGAAGGTGGTTTAATTTAAAAAAATGCATTTTTAGAGCCAATCGATCGTCATTTTCATGCTCGATCGTCGCTGATGGGTTCGAGTAATCGATTAATCGAGTACTCGTGCACGTCCCTACCACAAAGCTTCTTCGGGATGTGTGACCGACAATAATGTGCAGACATGCTGGCATGTAATTTTCTGTGTGAGATATGGGGAGAAATGGTCTTTTCTTCAGGGAGACCACAGTAGAATCTGACCCCTGTCTAACAAAGCACTTAGCCAAGGATTGCTGAAGTAGCTGTTTGACTGCTGATAGGTATTATAATTTTATAAATAAATAATTGTCTTTTTTTTCTTAAGCAGAAGGGAATGGAGAGCAACTGGTGTTCCTTTCACAGGAAGCTCCTTTGCGTTTGAGCAGTCAGGTTCACTCTAGGCATTTGGCCCTTGCCGGCACCCCCAGTCTCCCTCAAACTGTCAGCCCATGGTACCATTTAGCATTAGCTTAGCTCATGTACATTTTTGTAAGCGCTGACCTACTGAAACGGTGGTGACTTGCTGGCTTTCTGTGTGACTTTCTGGGGCAGGGTCTTTACCCCACCTAAGGCCTTGGCTGTTCACATTCATTAGCTACTTTCTCACACGTTGATAATTTCTATGTGATTTATCTCCTCTGTCCTGAGAGCAGTGTTTCTCAACCCGGTTCTTGGGGGCCTCCAGATGGTCCACATTTTTGTTCCCTCCCGGACCCTTAGCAGTTTGAGAAATGCTGTTCTAGGGTTTCTAGAGGGAGTGGAATGAACTGGCTGTTGTGGTGAGCTAATCTCTGAAAGCCGGGCATGACGCAAAGCTCCTTAAACGCTGCGTGGTCACCCCCGACGCTCCGTGGCTCCACCATGACTCGGCTGGGCGAGGGCGTGATGACTCAGCTGCGATTTGTCTCCTTAGCGAAAGCGAACCCTGTGTAGGGAAATGTGCTGCGTGCTGTAAATGACAGCAGCATTTGGATACTGTGCCGTATTCCTATCAGAAAAGACTTGAGCTTTTTATTTTTTGCTGCGGTTTGCTGGTATTCTTATTTTAGCCTTGTCTGCCTAAGGGCTGCGTCACACCCATCATTCTCCTGCAGTGTGACGCCAGGTTGTCTGTTTGATGCTTGGTCATGGTCATAACTGCTTTATCCCCGCAGATCGTGGTTTGTGACCTGCATGAGTCGAGCGTGTTGCGGAGCCATGCAGGTCTGATGGTTGCCAGTGTGGACTGCTGATTACCTAATTAGCGCGGTAGCTAGGGGACACAGACGTGCTGCGTGGCAGAGGGCTGCCCTTGGCTGGTCATGTGATCTGCCATAATTCCAGGAGCTGATTGAGCTCTGCCCCCGTCACTCAGGGGAAAATCCCTGAAAAATGCGCTTTGTGTCTGTTGGCCACCTTGGTTGTTGTGGGGCTTGTATGGCAGAGCAGGTTTTCGTAACTTGTCAGATTTAAGGTACCTGAATTTAAATGGCTTTTATCTTTGTTCACTTACATTTAGCCCAGACTACCTTAAATCCAAGTAGTTATATGGCAAAGCAAGAACTTCGACCACATGACAGGCCCCAGGAACATCTTCCCCCCCCCCCCCCCCCCCATCTTTGCATTTTTGGGATTTCATGTATAAATGTTGTTAGAGATATAGTTTACCTGACAGATTGAAATCTACAGCAAATTGTTGTAGAGTGCATTGCAGCAGCTTTAGATGAATGTATTCTGTGTAGTTCATTGAAGACAAATGTCCCTTTCACAATGCTTTCCAGCAACATATCCTCAGTAGCTCTCACAGCAATCACAGTTATCCAGCAAGTGTTCTGATGATGCTCATTAGTTTAGGGTGTTAAAATCTCGTTCACTTAATTTCCATATAAAGAAGTGTCCTTCTCTTAATGTCACCACAGGACTAAAAAAAACCTTTAATACCTGAAGTACGGTCTAAAGTTCGGTCCTGAATTATTGTCATTTTTGTGCAGGAGAATTTTTAAGATTTTATTTACTGTTATGAATTGGGTATTTTTGTCTACGTACTACATTTTTTCCAACCAAGCAGGGGGTGGCAGGTATTCTATTGCTTTTTTTGTGTGTTACCTGGTCAGTAGAGCAATGTGAGGAGGCACCCCCTAGTGGTGGGGCATAAGTCGGAACAAAAATGTAGGGTGATGGGATGGCATATTGTCTCTGGGGGGAATCTCCGTGGTAAATGGTGACCTGGTTTGGTTTATTGATGCAGTCACTGTGCACTAACACTGTGCCCTAATGACAAGGGGATGGACTGGACTGCAGGGCTGCACCAAACGTCGTTTCAGCACAGTCATTGCGATGTGCGCTTGCACAATAATCACGTTGCATTTGTCAGTACAGCTTTGTGTCTCTTGACGCTACTCGCGACACAACCACCAGCTTATTTGACACACTTTTTTGGTAGATGGCGAGTTCTTTTTTGGCAATAGTTTATTTCAGGTAACTTCATCTCCTTCTTTGTTTGTTTTATGAATATTTTAGTATTAATTGTGGAAATTTCACATATGGCAGTTGTGATATAGTGCAGCCTCTTGTACCAAGTGTCATGAAAGAGGTCTGTCCACAGTTCCTTAAATAATGGCACTTTATTGTACTTCTGGGGCTGTTACAGCTTGCTGGCCTTTGGCTTTTAACACCATTGTGTCATCTATGATGGACAGAGCAGGTGATTTCTTCTGAAGTGAAGTCTGTCTCCTGAGGTGAGCCATCTTACCAGTGGTAATAACACCCCCCAGTTTTGTTGTATTTGGACCAGTCTTCTGTCTGTGGGAAGATCATGGAGCTGCTGGGACAGAATGAGATTGACCATCACAATCGCCAGGTGGTCATCCTCAGCCAGGACAGCTTCTACCGGGTGCTGACTCCAGAGCAGAAGTCCAAGGCGCTAAAGGGCCAATTCAACTTTGACCATCCAGGTACGGGGGCTGAATCGGGGGACTCCATGGGGATGGAGCACTAAGCAGGCATCGCACAGGGAGTCAAGCTGTGGAAGGTGTTCCTGCTTCTAATATTCATTAATATGCCATTGATCCAAGAAGATATTGCATTTTTACACAATTTTTTGCAGATTTGTGACACTTCATTCAGCCTATCTTAGTGTTTTTTTCCTTAATCTTAGCACTTCTGATTATAACTTGGCAGGGGTCTGTTTAAAACTAAGAATTTTCTTTGGAGAAATATTTTTTTTGTTTTTTTTTTTTTGCAAAACCATATTTGGCCAGGTAAAGGTTTTAGGTATCTCACTTCTTAGCATAGGTGTTTTACATCAGCACAAAACAATGAGTTCTGAGATGATTTTTAAATCTCAAAAGCTCCTTGAATCTATAGAACACATCTGACCCACCCCTCCCCTCCCTCATCCCCCTCCCCCGCCGCCACCTAGCCAAACCCCTGACATAATATGCCTGCCTCAGCATGTTGAAATCCCCAGTAGTCAGCAGGTGTCTGGCCTTTTCACAGTTGCTGCAGGATTGCCTGGTCTGTTCTTCCTGGAGGCTGGGGGGGCTTCCCCCCCATGGTGGGGTGGTTGTCACAGTGTGGCAGTGTGGGGTGGCTACTAAAGTGTACAGTAAACCTCTCCTGGTCCCTCAGATGCTTTTGACAATGAGCTAATCATCAAGACCCTGTGGGACATAATGGAGGGGAAGACCGTCCAGATTCCAGTGTATGACTTTGTCACTCATTCCAGGTAAGCGGCCCCAACCCCCCACCCCCCATTCTACACCATGATGGCCACTCCTATATCTACACTTCAGGAAAAACCAAGAAAATACCTCTGTGTAACACTCAGGAATATCCTACAAGATGCTTATGTAGCTGCCCTTGTCCGGTTCATCTGCCTTTTCCCCAAGATCATCTTAACTGTTTTGTAGTTAAAGCTACTTTTACAAAGAAAGTACTCTGGCGATTTTTAGAATTGCTACAGTATGCTTTGCCAACCAGGCAAGTTCAGTTTGGTTCTTGGCTTGGGCATGAGCCAGATTGCTACAGATTGACACTGAGTACCAGTTGGTAGGAGCTGTTCAGAAATGCTTCACCAGGGATGCTGTGGGGACAGGTTCTCTGTTCTGTCGTCTCGCCTGCAGGAAGGAGGAGAGTGTGACGGTTTACCCGGCCGATGTGGTACTCTTTGAGGGCATCCTAATGTTCTACTCACAGGAGATCAGAGACGTGTTTCAGATGAAGTTGTTTGTGGACACGGATGCAGACACACGGCTGTCCCGCAGAGGTATGAGAAAGCTATGCCTGCTGGAGGACTTGAAAAAGTCCTGGAAAGTCAAGTTAGGCGTTGCATGTTCTTTTTACAGAAGTAACTTCAAAAAGAGGTTGTTAAATGGATTCATAGATGGACTATTCATGTTGTTCTGTGTCTGCCTGGAACCAAAGGTTCCTAGACTCAATTCCTCAAGATTGTAATGGAATATTCCTGCACTGCCAGTTGGAGCGAGAGTGTTATTGTTATTTATTTATTTGGTGATCAGTGATCATTGTTGACACACCACAACATACAGTGCACAACAACGAAATGTGTCCTCCTGTATTTAACCCATATGTGACATCGTGACATAGCAGAGGGCAGCTAATTTTGTGCCTGGGGGGCAGTACTTTGTTCAGGGTACCTCAGTGGTGTCTTGCTGGTCAGGGATTCGAACCAACAATCTTTCAATCACAAGTGCGTTTCCCTAACCATTAGGCCACCACTGCCCAGAGTGGAACCCTAGGCAAGCTTCACCACCGGTGCCCCCTGTCTGAGACAAATTGAAATGTACTTGTTAAGTCGGTGCCCTATGCAGCTCCGCCTAATGTTGCCTAATGGGCTGACCGGCTAGGTGCAGTGAGATAAATGCTGTTAGCCTTTGTTCATTGTGTAACTGCGAGCTGCCATAACCCTCGGTCCATCCTGTGGGCTTGCTCTAGTGCTGAGGGACATCAGCGAGCGTGGCCGTGACCTGGAGCAGGTCCTCGCACAGTACATCACGTTCGTCAAGCCGGCCTTCGAGGAGTTCTGCCTGCCTGTGAGTACCATGAGCTTCCCTGCGCGTGGAGGGCGGCCTTCGGAGAGGGCTGTGCATTTGCTGCTTGTCTCGCCAAGACCCGTTGCCTGTTGTCTGGTTTCGCATCATTGGGACACTTCTAATTAAGCCCACATTTTGGTCTTCATCCTTCGATCTCTCCTGGTTTGCTTACCGCAGGACAAACAAACAAACAAACAAATTTATTTTTGTATAGCGCGTTATCACAACATTACATTGGATAAAACAAAGCTGTCGTTTTAACAACTGTGAATATAGCAGGTGTCAGTTTGACACTACTTTTGCGTGTAGAGCACCTTGGTAGAATCTCTGACCTGAGAACAGTAAAGCATATTTCCCATTGAGCTAAATTTATTTGGCTGTGAAATTTGAATTTCAATCAAGTGAAATCTAGATAATGGTAGAAAGTATATGTGTGTGTAAAAGACTTCTGAATTAGTGTTTTATTCATTGCCTTCTTCAGTCTGTAGAATTTGCCTTTTTGTTTTTCTTCCCCTGCAGACGAAGAAGTATGCCGATGTTATCATTCCTCGAGGAGCCGATAACCTTGGTGAGGACTCGCTTTCTCTGACCCAAAAGAAAACACCATCACACTGTCATGCGCCCGGAAACAGCTCTGTTCAGACACCAGACAGCTACCAGCTTGTTTTGAGTCCTAAAGGCCTTTATCATTTTCCTCCTACTGTTCAGAACGTTCAGTGAGGCCTAAAGTCGGGCTTAATCAGTGCAATGTTTCTCCAATCCTGTAGGAATTAATGAGGTTCATTCCGTTACGTTGCTCTGGTTTCTTTAAAAGGAGTGCTTTCCCCTCTTAGTCACGCACTGTATGTTCCCTGAGGCTCTTTGGCCTTTTGTGTTCCCTGGATGGGAAATACATCTGATTTTGTTACCCATACTCTGCCACAGACACTCATCTTGTTAGCGTGATACCTCAAAAAGTATTTGTCAGTTCTGCAGACACATTGTATGGTGAAGATCTGAACCTGTTTTGAGAGAAACCTCACTGAAGTTGAAGCAGTGTCACTTAGCGGTGGCATGTGGAAGGACAGCCACAGACACACATCTTATGGAACTTGATTACATTGAGACAAGTCATACAAGGTTGGGCTTTTAATAAAGATATTTTTTGAAGAGGTGGGGTGTCAGAGTTTGTGGAGGTTGGTAGGGATTAGATGGGGGGGATGGAGTGACTGAGTCCTCCAAGGATAGTGTTGTCTTTCCTTATCTAGATTTAAGGTGTGTGTGAGACATTCCTGATCTGAAACGATGAAGAAAACATGTGGATCATCTTGTTGAATCTGCTGACTCTTCCCCTGCCCGTTCCCTCCCTGCAGTCGCTATAAACCTGATTGTGCAGCACATCCAGGACATCCTCAACGGCGGGCTGACGAAGCGGCAGAATGGCTGCATGAACGGCTTCAGCACGCCCCGCAAGCGGCAGGCCTCCGAGTCCAGCAGCAGGCCTCACTGACCCCAGCTGGCCTCTCCGCAGCGACCCAGCGAGAGAGAGAGAGAGAGAGAGAGACGGGGGTGGGGGCCGCTTAGCTGTACATACTGCCAGTCAGCCACACTGTATTTAAAGTGAGAAGATGCAAAAACTAAAAGAGCCTTTAACTTTTCCCATTTTTAAAATTTAAGTTGAATTACATATTTGGGGGGGTGTAGTATTGCAGGTTAGTCACTCCTTTATTTAAATTTTTTTTTCCCCCTTTTTTTTAATAGCCCCAACCCTGTCTTTACACTCCCTGAAGTGAATAAAATAAAGGAGGAAGAAAGCTAGTCAATTCAGGGCGGAGCTTGGGCCACTCCAAGTGGCTGGTTCATGTTTTTCGTTTTTACTTCCTCTCCTCACTCCTCTTTTTTTTCATCTTTTGTTTTTTCTTTGTTAGGTTTGCTGTTGGAGAAAAAAAAAACTCAGATCCTTATTGTTAGAGGCTGGGGTGAGCGGACAATGTTAATGACATGAAGCTTTAGCCAGAACTCAGGACACCAGAGAATATTTAAAAACGTCTTATGCACAAATACTAATGCAATCCACATCCCTCTCCCTCTGTGCCATTTTCACTAGCATTGATGTGTCTGACTGGGCCTTGGTGAACATTCCCCCGCACTTCACCCAAAATGCTGTGTTTCTGCTTCTATATGGATATGGGAAGGGAGGGGCGGGAATTGAAAATGATTGGTTGTGGCTGGGGGGCGGCAAGTCTGCTGGCGCCATGGCCAGCCCCGGTGCTGCCATGCCTGGCCCCGGTGCTGCCATGCCTGGCCCCGGTGCTGCCATGCCTGGCCCCGGTGCTGCCATGCCTGGCGACCACTGGGGGACCTGCTCCTGTGCAGTGTTGTGTGTTGAGACTGCGGAAGATCCTCCTGGCTTCAGCTTAACAAAAACATGGTGAGGTATTTGAAGTGGTGCACTGCACTGGGATGGTCAGTTCCAACGCACGCTTTGAGTAATGATGATTTCAGAATGCTTATATTTGCAGTGTGGGATGTGGAATCAGTGGGGCGAAGGGTCTGATTAGCCTGGATCACTAGCGACTTGGGGTGCCTGTCTCGGACAAAGCCTGTCATATCCAGCAGGTTCCACTGTTTGGTCTACTGTCAGTTTTTTTTTTTTGCATAGATGGGTGAACCTGAAGATGCTGTTCTGGGACCAGGCCGGCTTACAGCCTCGCAATCTCCCTGAGCTCCAGTAACTTAGAATTTACTCCGCAGCACCTTTAAAGTGTTCTTTGGTTCGGAGAGCACCTCCTGCAGACCACCATCTGGAGCTACCCCTAGAAAATTTAAAAAGAAAATGAAAATAAACATGCTTTTATGCCAAAACTTCAAATATCCGCTGTCTCTTTGCAGATCGATATTTCAAGCAAAATATTTTCCCTTTGGTGATGGAAGTTTGCCTTCACACCTTTTCTCTGCTGCTAAGAAACAGGGTAGCTTATTTAAAAAGTGAAGCAGCCGGCTTTGTCATTACTATGGCTGTATTTATATGAAGTGATGTGCACAGTACTCTTGCTGTAAGATGGGGGGGGGGAAAAAATGCAACCTAAAAGTTGTATGGATACGGTCTGGAGTAACTGATGGGGGTCAGTGTTCAATAAAGTGAATCTAATTATAGAGACCATGAAAATTCAGCCTTTTTGTGACCCAGTGTCTAAATTGCTTTGTGTCCTTTTGTCCACAGCTGAACAGTATTAATGTAAAAATTTTAAAAATCTGCTCATGATGGAGTATTCCTAATTAAATAGCTTGCCAGTTTGCCTCACACGTGACGTGTTTTACTGTTTGTTTCTCATCCTTCTAATGGTCATATGACTCATTAAAGGTGTGGAGGTCCCTCCCACCCTGTTACCTCTGAGAAATATTATGTTCTTCTGTACCCCGACAAAGAAAGCTGTTTCATGTTTCATGTTTACTACACCCAGTTTGGCTTTGCGTGTGTGGGGCGTGGTCTGCCCTGTGCAGCCGTCCCACACAGGCTGGCAGATTGTGGTGCTCTTGAGCTGGGCTTTTCACTATCATGGTGAGCAGGTAGCCCTGCTTTCCTGTCCTCATTTAACTGTCCTTAATTCTAGTAAGTTACCAAACTGGCACAACTGATGCTTCAGGAATGTGCCTGCCAACCAAATAATGTGACAGTCTATTATCTTATATCCCTGTTCAGTCAGAAATAATCGCTGTCAGATGACATCCATGGGGAAATGTTCTTTCAACTGCTGTGCAAACAAGGGTAAAGGCGAAGTATTTGAGTGTCATGCAACGCCTAGCTGGATTGCTGATGTGCAATGTTTTTATTTTTTCCCCGCTACGTGTGTATTGATTCTGGGTCTGTGCACTATGCGTGTGTGATATGGAGCACACATGGAAGGGGATTTATGCTGTTGTGATGCTCTGGGGTGAATCGAGATGCATACGACATGTGACTAATTGTAAAAATCCACCCAAATGTTTTGTTCCCTCCACTCCTTGTACAAATATGTGGACAATCCAGAAATAGACTGTAACACCAGAGACGATGCATTATGCCTTACAGAATTAACCAGGTTTTGTGCATTATACTCTGATATCCTGGCTGAACTGTTGTCCATTTTGTCCTCATTGTAAATCTGTCAGTTTACTTACCTCCCACCTTTGTGAAGGAGTAAAGCACATGGTGTTGGCTGATTGGGAAACCCTGAGATCCTGTACATGAAATGACTGGAACCATCAACTGGAAATACCTAAAATGTGCACTTCAGAGTTGTGTATTTTTGTCATTTCCTTTCAAAATGTGAATCTGGTTCATACAATGTGAGCACAGAACTATTAAGGATTTATGGGAAAATGTAAGCATCTTAAATTCCTGACTTACATGCAGTAATTTATTCGCAATTCCATTATGTTACCGTTGGAAATTAAGCATTTTATAACTCTCATGCTGTTAAAGATTGATCGATAGAGTGACAGGAGATTTAATGGGCACAAGCTTCCTGTAGTTAATTGCACGCCAGAAAAAGGCTTTATCAGAACTTGAAGTATCCCTTTGCACCAGGATTCGGGCATGCATCATATGTCACTAACGGTCTGCAATGATGATGTACTGTCTTCAAATATTCTGCAGGTATTGTGAGGTGCTATTTTATACAGCCGTATGTTATGTGTTAATATATTGTAGCGAAGGGTGCCTTCACTGTGTGAATTGCTGTGAGTGGTTCCCTGTGCATTGGGAGACTGGAGGAATTATGCAAAAGGTGCAGTGGTTTGTAGGGCAAAGGGGGGCTTCCTTAAAGGAAGCAGGTGTCATGAACGTGGGCCTGCATTGGGAAACAGGGTACTGGCATTTTTTTCTCTTGGTGTTATCTGGATTTTTCAATAAAGCAATATGTCTAATAGCTTGAGTTCATGTTCATTTTCCTTCACTTGTCAAACAATACTGTGAAATATCTACATTATAATTTTTTAATATGCTTTTTGCAATGAACAACTGAGTCTGCTTAGCCAATGTCCCTGGAGTAAGTTCAATTAAGACCCTTGTTCAAGGGCCCGATTATGACAGCAATCTGCCAACCTTCTGATCATACAGATCCGTAACCTGCCAGGCCACACACTGCTGAGTTATTTATGTCATTTCAATAATTGCTTTCATCTATACATAAGCTGTAGTTCAAAATAAATAATTCAGGTTCAAATTTGGTAAAGCTAGAAGTGGCTGCTAACTGAAGATAATCCACATGATTAAAATTAAGATTGACTACTGATCCTGTTGGGAGAGCAACAAGAACATAGTGCACAGACAAACATATGTATAGTGCCAAACGGACAAGGCACATAGTACACATAGTGTAAATGTTTCTGCAAACAGTTTTTAGCACATAGCACACAAAATATCCTGAAGAATAGAATATTGTGAGAAATCAATGAACATGACTGATCCAAAATAGCATTCGGAAGTCTTTACTTGACCATAATATAACACAGTGCCAGTTATGCACATTAACCAAAAACAATTCCAATTGTGATTATGCATTTTTAGAAACCTAAGTCTTCAAAACAATTATACGGATATTTACACAATAATTTACAGTTGTGGCTGCGATACGGCAGATTGAGTCCGAGACTGACAAGTAGATGGGTCCAGCCTGTATATCACAGAATTATACTCATAGAGAAGTGAATTTAGTTTTGTGGCAAATGAGCAGCTTCATAGTGCGTGTGACTAGACAGCGCTGGTGGCTTGTCACTGTCCCTAACTTTGTGTAGCTTAAAGAGTGGGTGCAAACAGTCTAAATGAGGCTGAGGTTGCGCTACATCTGGCCAATGAGGTTACAGTATAATTCTGTCCACCTTAAATCTCACTTCATGGTGTAATATATGAAGCAGCTGATGCCTTTTTTCAGACAATTCTGTGATCTTTTATCATACAATATTATTCTAAACCAGGGGTGGGCAATCTTATCCAAAAAGGGTCGCTGTGTGTGTTGGGTTTCACTGCAACTCCCTAATTAGATTAGTAATTAGTGGACTGATTGGATGAAGAATCCTCACACCTAGGTTTGTACAGCTGACCTGAAGGTTATCCCAAAACCCTTCATACACACCGGCCTGTTGTGGGCAAGATTGCCCATCCCTGTTCTAAACTGTACTGGATAAGCAATTATGGAAGATCGTGGGTTATAATGGAGGTTCATATATTTTGCAATAAAATAAGAAATAAAACCAGAATCAGAAAACTTTATTAATCCCGGAGGAAACTGCTTATGTTGCAACTGCTCAGAAGACAGGAAAATGTGCAGAAGGCAGGATACAAAAAAATCCATGAGCTCTGTTTGAAAATGTACTTTATTTGTGTTAAAGATTTTGGTGTCCGGTAGAGAGTACTTAAAGCCTGACGCAATACTAAACACGCTCCTATATTTTGTTTTTACACATGACCGTTAAGCGTCACTACCTACAGCCACATGGGTCAGGGCTAACAATGGAAATCTGCAAATGCGCTTGCCTGTGTGCACGGTGAGTCATACTGACACCTAGCGGCAGAGTAATATGTGGCAGTCGTATTCGCCGCGGCAATTGTATATCAGTATTTACTGTCCTGCATTTTAAAGTATGTCGAAAGTAGCTATTAAGGTAGTTCTCGCAACAAAAAATGAACATATTTTGTTAAACGTGTTTAGATAGTTGAACGTACTTCCGGGTAATTTGCGTACATTGGGGAACACCTAGTCTGTGATGTCATATAAATGCGTCTGCACATGCGTACGAGGGTCGCGGCGTGTGTACAGTCCCGGGCAAGACGAAATCACCCGGCTCGTAGCAATGGGTAGTGACTTTTACTTACGCTATTATGTCGGACATAAAGGAAAGTTCGGTCACGAATTTCTGGAGTTTGAGTTCCGACCGGATGGTGAGCTGTTTTGTTCTTAGAAAATTATGTTTCCAGTCCAGAATTGTAGCTAAATTTTGAGTGGGGCTAGTGTGGGGGGTGCGTTTGGGAACGGCGGGTAATACGGATGTGTGTAGTAAACCACTACTTGGTTTTAAGTTTCATTAACTGTAATTTGGATACTGTTAAGGTTATCCCATAGTTTATAATGAGCAGTTTTTTTGTCTGGGTAGGCATAATCGGTTGGAATTAATAAAATAACAAAAACTTTAGCGACCGTTTAATTTAAATACAATATGTACCCTTCAAATGTTCCTTATAATATTGCAGGGAAGCTGAGATACGCCAACAACAGTAACTACAAGAATGACGTGATGATCAGAAAAGAGGTACCTGAGAGCGTATCTGGTGCACTCCTAAAACGGGGTAAATCTTTCTTGATCTAAGTACAAAAACGAATGACAATTTTCATTTCATGCTTTGCATCATTTTAATTACAGGCATACGTGCACAAAAGCGTGATGGAGGAGTTGAAGAGGATTATTGACGACAGTGAAGTAACAAAGGAAGATGATGCTCTCTGGCCATCACCAGACAGAGTGGGAAGACAGGTCAGCTGTACAAGCCTTTGTTTACTGATAAGAGCTACAGTGGGCATAATGCTGAAAGATGTGCTTGTAAAGCCTATTGCTAGTATTTTCTGTTGTATCCTTGAGCAAGGTACCATCCTGAGTTTATACATTATCTGTTTGAGTGTGTAAGGACTGTATGTTGCTTTGGACAAGTGGTAGACATACAACAAAATATCAAACATTGCAGATTGAAATATGCCTTTTTTCCCATTTGCTTGTGATGGTGTCCTTGATTTTTGGCCGTGTGATGTGTGGCATGAAAGGCACCTAATGTTAGCGGCTAACGGTTAGCCTTATGTGTGCTTAGAAGAAGTTAACTTTGTTTGTCTCTATATATAAACTCATAAATACACATCATTGTGTGTTAGGAGCTGGAGATCGTCATTGGAGACGAACACATCTCATTCACAACATCAAAGATTGGGTCGCTGATTGATGTTAACCAGTCGAAGTAAGTAAGGCTCTATGCTGTTCTGCTGGGTACAGGGAAGACAGAACAATGTCGTAATGTTTGGATACAGTTCAGAATGGCTGCAGTCTTGATCGGCTTTTATCGGTTGAAGCTACTGGGGGTTGAGCTCATTCAGTTAGGGTGATGATTTATTGGCTGGGGTTTTCCAATCTGAATATTCCACTTTGCCACGAGTGTAGCAGAAACGTGCTCCTATATAAATGGATTTAGAGGTGGATGAAAATTCACCTTGTGTTGTTACCACACTGGTTTGCTAATCTGCTAACTGTCCTGTTTTATTTTTAGGGATCCAGAAGGCCTCCGTGTTTTTTACTACCTGGTTCAAGACCTGAAATGCCTGGTGTTCAGTCTCATTGGTTTACACTTCAAGATCAAGCCCATTTAGGTTGAAGTATTGTTATAAGGTGCAAGTTTAATTTTTCATTTGATCGCTTTTCAACATTTGTATATTTTTTTGGTTTTCAATAAAATACTGAAATTAAGCCTTTGTCACTTTATTGTAACTGGATTTATGCCATAGAACATAAAGGAATAGAAGGGATGGGAAAATAGGACAGAATCAGACTTAGACAATTTCTTAGACAATTATACTCTTTGGGGAAAGTATGGAAAGCTCCCTTCTGCCTCAATGGGGCTTTATATGCAATTGTTTGTCAATAATGATCTGCTACTATGAGCAGTGGTGTCGCAAGGAGTTTAACGTTGGGGGGGGCATGAATTTGCCCTGACAGTGGTGGAAGGGGTTGTATATTGTGACATTGCATTGGGCACACATACAATAGTCATATCATGAAAGGAGCAATTGTCAGAAGGATTTTAATTAAGATCTCATAATTAAAAATGACAGTTTTGGGTGCAGTTTCATAAGGGGGGGGGGGGTCTGCTGATATTGGGACCCCCCCCAATTTAAGTGAAATTATATGTATATCAGTGTTTGGGTGTTTTCTGCTTAAAATACATAAAAGCAGGCCATCCTAAATCAAATCCGATTTCAATTTTGTTATTTCTACTTAAAATTGCAAATGGTCTGTTTCAAATTATCCAGCTCTCTGAAGAAAACCAACATGGAATATGTAAGCTGCCCCTCAAAGATATATAAATATATAACACTCTTAATCATAGATTTTCCATGCTACTGTTTCAAACCAGAACCTGCAGGGAGATGGTTTAAATTAACATTTGAGCTATTTGTGCATTCATATTGCCATACTGTATACGTTTTTGCAAACTTATTTCATACTCATACCGTCAACGAGGGTTGAATTTACAGCGTTTCAAAAACGTACGTGGGTTCCAGGCTCAATGCAACCCCGGACTAGATAAATGCCCTGGGTAAATGTTTGTAAAAGGGGGTCTGTAGTACGATCGCACGCCGACAGAGGGCGCCGTTCAGCCGCACGCCGATCCGCGCCTGTGACGGATCTCCCAGGGTTCGGAGAAAGATGGTGGTAAGCTGCTCCACGCCATATATGCGTGCATCGGGTTACCAGGCCCATCGCAGCAATGCAAGCGGCCGCTAACTCCATTTAATTTCTCCGTCCTTAGAAATTTGGACTTCAGTTTAAGGCGACGCTGGAAAACATCACCAACGTCCGACCAGAAGGGGAGGACTTCCGCTGGTATTTAAAGGTAAACTGCATAACTATATAAAAATAATATGATTGCTATTCGGCACCCGTCTTGATGCTTTTATTTAATGAAAAAGATTAAAACATGTGTCAATTTAAACTGTATATGGCATATTGACAATATTCGTACACGTTGTCATGACAATAAAATGGCTCTCTGTTTTGTCGTTGTAACTGGTGTATATTTGTTGCATTTTAGGAAGTGTAGTATAGTATTTAGCTGTAGGGAACTAAAGTGGTTAAAATTTTCGATCATAACTTCTTGCTCCTCAACGGTAGTATGCGTGTAGCAGAATTATTAAAATACAAATCACGTGTATGTTATTTACAAAGCGATACAGAAGCATTTGTTTCAGCGACAACGTAAATAGTTACCAAATTTGTACAGCCCTCTCCCAAGTGCCCGAAGTAATTTTGAGCATTTAAATCTTTTCGTTGTTGTTTGTATCAAACCATCTATTTTCACTATTTCCTTTTCATGTAGCTTAAATGTGGAAATTGCGGAGAAATTTCAGACAAATGGCAGTATATCACATTAATGGTAAGAGGTTGTGATTATTTATTTTTTTTGTAAGACTACATTACCCTAGTACCTTATTTATTTTTTTGTAAGAAACAAAAAAATCATAAATATAATGGTTTTATCCATTTTTGTTGTTGTCCAGGACAGCATGCCGCTGAAGGGAGGAAGAGGGAGTGCCAGTATGGTGCAGAAGTGTAAACTGTGTTCCCGGGATAACTCTATTGGTATGGGACACTTTGCTATCTCACAATGCCCTCTGCTGAATCAAACCACCTCTACTGTGATTAAAAATACCCAGACTCATGGTAAATGTTACTCTAGTTCTGGAAGAGATATGCTACTCTATATTTAAGATCATTAATGATAATTGAGACATGTGTTGGAAACAACTGGTTGAGCTTGTCCACCCAAAATATGACAAATATGGATCTGATTTTCCAACAGATATCCTGAAAGATACCATCACTTCATATAATGTGAGTGAAGACCTGTTTAAAAAATAGAATTCTTCTTAGTAATTAGTGACATTTTAAACAGGATTTTCAACAATGATGGTTTTCAAGCTTTTGTAAGATACTGACATGGATTTGACAAAGCCCTACAGTGGTATGTGTTACAGTATTTTCATTCTCTTGGTCCCAAAGGCAGAAGACAGTGACAGGTTTAAGACCATGGTGCAGTTTGAATGTCGAGGTCTGGAACCGGTCGATTTTCAGCCTCAGGTGACAGCATGTCCTTCCCTTCCGTTGTTCACGGATTGGCAGTAGAATATGGAATGCCTCAGAGCCCAATCACTCTCAGTGCACTTAACAGAACAAACTGTAGGTGCTGTGTCGCTGTATCTTTATCTCTGTCTTTATAAACCATTTTAGCTCGGTCATTCAGTATCTGTCTGCCCTGACTTTCCATTGCAGGCTGGGTTTAGTGCACAAGGTGCAGAGTCTGGGACTCCGTTCCCTGAAATCAACCTGCTGGAACGAGTGAGTCTTCACATCAGCCCCTTTCCTGGATTGACATTTCTTATTAATTACTGACTGTCGTACGAACATGGTTGGATTTCACTTGGTCCCAGGAAGGTCGTGGAAACGTCATCATCTTTACCGCAGACCCATTTTTTGTCTGTGTTATATAAGTAGCTCAGTGGATTGCACTGTCTTCACACAGTCGGGGGTCTAAATCCCAGCCTCGCCTTGTTGTAGGAGGTTGCATGTTCTCCATGGGCTCCTGTGGTTTTGCTTGTGTGCCCTGTGATGGACTGGCACCACATCCAGGGAGTCCCCCTGCTTGTGCTTCCTGGGATAGGCTCTAGGGTCACTGTGACTCTGTGATAAGTCATCAGGGAGGATGGATGGGTGTTACAGACATATTCATACTTCATTATTCTTATATTTCAGGACTGGAATGACTACGATGAGAAGATCAGCGAGTCTGTGGGCATCTATGAAGTCACCCATAAGTTTGTCAAGTGCTGATTCTGTATTTGCAGCTGGATAATTCAAGACCCAGCTGTCTGCAACTGACCCCCCTCCCCCCCTTTGTCCTTTGGTGACAGGATGAGCCACCAGACCTATATGATTTGGTTCAATGCAGGGTGATCCTGTCCAGCTTCGGTCCATCTTTAACAGAACTTGTGGGTGACAGAGTAAGCAGACACTCTCTGACGGGGATGGCGCCATCTTGTGGCTGGAGATTCACAGCTGTTTAAATCCCTCAATAAAATTAAAGGTTAAAAATGCTTTGGAGTTCATTTTTAAAGGGGGATATTATATTATATGTAAAGATACTAGCATCTGAACGCAATCTGTCCAGTTGGAACAGTAAGCTTGTGTTCTACACCTAAATCACATTCAATGCTAGTGTTGGAGCTCAATGCTGCCATGACTGTGGAGATGATCGACTTCTACTGTCAGCCCCACACACTCACTCCCCTGGAGATTAAGGCCAGCCCCTATCACTGGTTCGGTCATTTCAATTTCTAGGGTCCACCATCTCCAACACACTGAAGTGGGATAAGCATGTCACTTCCATCACAAAGAAAGCTCAGCAGAGACTGCTCTTCCTGTGCCATCTCAAAAAACTCAATGTCACAACTCCACACACCAATCATATCAGTGTGCAGAAGATTTCACCAGGATCCTCATCCTTGAATCTTATCCACCATGATACGACTGATGTGTGGAGTTTGGTAAAAGAAAATAGTTTGTATATTAATCTGCTCACTACAAAGTCTGAGGATTATCTTCAATAACTGGGTCATGATTTCTGGTAAGAGACATTGCTGTTGAATTTTTTCAAATGTATTTTTTGGCACTTTAATCACTACTGAAAGAATGCCATTCACTTCCATTACATTCGTGAGAAACCTGACACTATGACTGATATCTCCAAAGCTAGGCAACTCTCAGGGGAACAAATTATGATGGTCGGTTGCTCTAAAGCCCCTCTGAAATCTTTTTCATTTTTGGGGTGAGCTGCCCCTTTAAAATTGAAGTTGCTATCTTAAATGCTACCGCCATGGTAAGTACGTTCAATCCAGGCTGCTGATACATCCCAGCTCACTTTTCCGTCTTGCGTATCTGTATCGACAACATGCAAAGACACTGTCAGCTACATTGAACCCTCCACTCATATACAGGAGCTTGTCTTTTTATGGACCTTCCGCTGTCCAGACCCAGACACACAGACTGGCTGTGTACTTCGGTTTTGACTGTGTTGCATGTGGTGAAATATGGGCAAGACTTCTTGACTTTGAAAAGTATTTTGCTCTTTGTAAGATGGTTTAAGGTTAATTTTAGTAGATCATTCTTTAAGGGCAAGGTAATATTGACACAAAGAAATCTTTGCAATATTTACTGACAAATCAATGAGTTTTTACTTTGATACAGTATAATACTTGGTGACAAGAGTGGGTGTGTGAGGTACTGATATGGATTTGAGCAAGCAGTGGCATTGGTTTTTAATGTTGCTTATTGTAAAAATATTACTATGGAGAATTTCATTATTTCAATACTACCTAGCTCTGTCAACCTCATCTCTTGTTGTTTTTGTCATGTGTTATACCCTTCTATATTTTATGCCTCCTAGAGTCAAAAAGAACATTTAAAATGCAGTGTATATTGTAAGATAAAATAATTACCAGTGATATTATTATGGTGAATATAGACTGAATTATTTTACAGGACAGCAGACACTTCAATGAGCATTCAATAATACTTTATTTTTATAATTGACTAAAACTTACTATTCTATAACAGTGGGGGCATGTTTTTATGAATGCCAGTCACACCCGCTACATTTATGGCTGCTGACATTTCACTTGTTCATGTGAACATTCTTTGGCGTTTAATAAAATGAATATAAATATAAATGGTTTAATTGTATTTTAGTTCTGTGAAAGTTTATTAAATGCATAGAGAAAATGATTATATTTATTTGGTAACATTTATTAAAAGTAAATTAACATTTATACAATTATGGTGAGTAATTTAACTTCATATAACCAAAGTAATCAAAGTAATTGGAAATGTGAAATGAGAAAAAAAACATAATAAACAGTAAGATAAACTTAAGATTTTGATGACGGCGATGTTTCTGTTCATGAAAAAATTAAGTTGACTTTACTTGATTCGTTTAACTAAATTTAACTTAAATTTAAATATAATTAACATTTACTTTATATCTACACAAATGTTAAGTCTAGTGGTAAACAAATTTTACTTGATACTAGCAAGTGAGTTAAACTTTACATTACAGCAGTAAAATATACTTTAAAAGTACTTGTATTGGGGAAAAATTGCACAGGAACCCTGCTGTCTTGTCCCTGGATATCCCAATATATAGGTTACTTTGGACAACAGCAGTTTGTCTTCATATTAATACCTTATGCCAAGTCTACAAACATTCACAGAGTTTATATAACAGAACTTATTTTATTCTGCAAATGTGACTCAGACTTTTGCTCATTGCTATAGATTCTCAAAATGCTTTTTCAATATGTAATCTGTTCATTGTGATCTTTAATAAAAGGCACTTTTCTTCACAGACACAATGGCCTTATTTCTGTTTGTGCAGGCACACAAATAATAATCGTAATGTTATAATCATAGAGAAATGACAGAAATGAGTGTTGAATCGTGCTCTCTGCACATAAAAACTGTAGATAAATCACCCGTGGTAGGGGAGAGTGTGATGAAGCTTTTGATCCTTTGAAAACAGCTGAAAGATCACCATCTAGCAGAACCTCAGAGGCTGAACTTTTGAGACACCAAAAATTCACTCAGGGTTGATCAACAGGATTGATCATAGCTGGGATGCCCTGGAGAGGGATTTCTGGAACTTTCAAAAAGAAGGCCTAGATCTTTATTCGGCACTTGCTTCCCCTCGCTGTAATGGCATCACCCATGAAGGGCCCTAACTGACCCTAACCCTAACCCTAACCCTCCAGGGTGCTGAAGATGTCCTCCAGGGACTTGTGGATACACTGCAGGAACTCGTGCACATCACGCGCCGGGTAGCTGGAGACGTTGCAACCGATCCACTCATCATGGACTCCGTAGCCGACACCGAACCCATCCGGCACTACGGGGGCGAAGCCCCCCAGGTTCACGGCGGGACTGGTGAGGGTGCTGGTGGACAGGATGTTGTGGTTGATGGTGGCATAGGCTGGGTCCAGGTACAGGGTGGGCAGGGGCAGCCCTTTAGTGCTGGCCAGGTACCGCAGTGCAAAGAGATGCCGGTCAAAGCCCTGACCTGGCAACAAGAACACACACATCCAGCAGCTCAGCATCTGTACTGTTGACTGTAGTAATTGTATGGTCATACAGTATACTAACATCACCAGCAATACTCAATAATCAGAAATCAATAGTTAAGATGATTATAATGATATTATTATTAGATTATTGTTTTATAATAGCCTATATGCTGTTTATTCCTTGTGGGTTTTTAAAAGTAAGTAAGGTAAGATAAAGATATACTTCATTGTTCCCAGGGGAAAATTCATCATCATCATCATCATCACCATCATCATCGTCATTATTATTATTATAATTACAGTGGTAGCTCAGTTCTCAAACTCATTAGAACTCAAATTTCGAACCAACCAGTTCGAAAAAAAATTAGCTAGTGATACAGACTGTCCCTGAATTTGGGCAATAAAAGTCCCTCCCAATATGAACATTTGCTAAACACCGTAAATGTAAGCTTGGATAGTTATCTAAATATGTTATCCTTTATGCTAGTTAGCATTACTTTATGCTGCTAGCTGAAAACAGCCCAACTTAGTTCACTTGCCATGACAAATTCTACCTTAAATTACATTTGGAAATCACCTAAAATAGCATCAATGCTTAAATTATCATCAACTTCAAAGTCTCCCACTGCCCTGTGTGCTCCATCCGCATCGGAACAGTAGCCTATCAGAGCCATGCACTATCACACACAGGCCAATCACTGTGTGGCAAAACTCTCAGTGTGTTTATTTTTTCTCAATTGTCTGCAGTCATGTGCAGTCCAAGGGCCCCCCCCCAGGCCACCACGTAACTCCTCCCCTGTCTAGGCATCACCTCTCCTAAAAATGAGTGACTACTAAATACAAACTAACATTTAATCTCACGCTCTCGGATGGTGCCTGTTATTGTTTCGAAATTACCTACGCACCCATGGCTGCCTCCCGGGTCAGCTGACCGTGGTACCGCGAGCATTCGCTGAGCATGGCCCGGAGCGCCTCAGCCGAATGCCGGCCTGGCTCTTGCACGAAGGCGCGAGCACACTTCTGGGTGTGCATGCTGGCAGGCCGCACTGTTTCGGTGCGGCCGTGCCGGAAGGCTGCGGTGCTACATGACTCATAGGTGGCCACTGTCTGCCCGTACTGCCGCAGGTAGGCCATCTGGAAGGCGAGCTGGGCCACCGCGTCGGGGCTCAGCTTGCTCCTCTTCAGTGCCTCCTTGCCGCCCCCTCTGAACTCCATGGCGCCGATGGCCAGCTGAGAGATGGTGGCTTCAAATTTCTCCCGGGCTTCCTGGATGGCGTTCTGGAGTGGCCCGTCCAATTTGAACTCAATCCGACGCACGGCGGAGACTGAGTCCACGGGGGCGGGGCCATCTCTGGGCAACAGTAGGGGACTCTGAGTTGTGTCTTTGAAGACCTCATTGAAGAAACGGAGCACGGCCACACCGTCTCCCCAAGAGTGCTCGAAGTTGATGCCGGCCAGACCGTGCTTTGCCACGATGATACTGAATGACTTGTCAAACCAGCGGTTGCAGCCGTCACCATGCAGCATGTTGTGGGACGTGTGCACGTGGTCCCTCATGGACTCGTCATCCAGGCATAGGCAGAAGAGGGCACTATCCACCAGGTGGAGGACCTCTCCATTACCGGCCTTCAGCAGCCTCTCCCTCAGGCCTGCCCAGACATCACGGTTCTCACTGGTCAGGAAGCCCAGCGGGAAGGCTGGAGCCGGTGTGCTGTTGGACAGGATATGCCGCAGGTGCGCCTGCACTTCTGCTGGCTTCACCATGTTGCCGTTACGGTCCAGCACGTCGAAAACATACATGTTGCCCTTCCTCATCACCAGCAGGTGGCGCCCGTTCTCATCAGTGAAGAGCTCATCGCGGCCACGCCGGGGAACGCGAGTGGAATTGAAGAGCCGGAAGTACTGAGACATGTCGAGGGGGTAGGCATTGACCGCATACGCACCGTACCAGGACAGAGACGGGGGCAGCCAGCGGATGAGCTTCTTGAAGCCCTCGGTGTCACTCTTGGCAGGATTGAGGTGGAAAACCTCCGGTTCTAGGTAGCCAGCCCGCAAGGTCTTCATAAAGCGAATGGCCGAGCACACCAAGTTGGAGGCGCGCAGAAGCTGCTCATTCTGTTCTGGCTTGGGGTCGGGGTTGAAGGAGATGAATGGGTTGAAGTTGAGGACGACAGGCTCCCTCGCAGAGAGGTACATGTCAAACCACGGCCCTACGTAAAGCAGGAGATTCTCAGAGTCTACAGCCGTTGAGGCAAATGAGGTAAAACTGCGTAGCTGCAGGAGACCCACCTGAGATATAGCTGGTGTGCCTGTTCCTCTTATCCTGATCCAGCAGCTCCTCGTGCAGCTCCTTCCCCACACCACTCTGGAAGTCACGAGCCAGCTTCTCTGTTTTACTGCAGTGACACAATGATCAGCTACATCTCACAGATGAGTCACCTCCTCTATGCATTGTCCTAAGAGCATTGTTTACCTGTATTGTTCATCATTTAAGAGAGGCTTCTGAGCAGCTAAATATCTTCTTATTGTGTCTTCCAGTTTAGGAATAGGCAATCTGTATAACAGAGACAAAATATATAGGATGAGTCATAAGATATCTAGGCTGCATCTTCAATCAGGACCAGAATGAATGAAGCTTGAGCCAGCAGTACAGTGAGGTATTTTAGCCACAAACCAAGGACCTAATAAAACAGAAATTCCAGAGGTTTTCCCCTCGTGTTTATTTACTCTTTGATAATTGATTTCTTTTGTACAGTATAGTATGTAGCAGTAATAGTACTGACATTCACTGACGGCTGGTGAGAAATATTCTAGGTGGGGCTGTCTGCTGTGGTAACCATGACACTATTCAGCCCAATACAGTTTAACAAAACTGTGGGATATCAGTACAATGTAAAAGTGATTGACATAACAAACAATGGATTAACAGAAAATTAAATGTATCATTTGTTACAGTCCGAATGTGCTCATACATAATTTAAAGTATGGAACAAGAATAAAGAAGTCTGGTTCATGGATTTAAAATATTAGCACGCACCCAATTAAGACAAGGTATTAGGATTTTCCCGTAACAAACTATGTTTTATCTGTCCCCGCTGTTTTAAAAAGTATGCACAGGAAGCAAAAAAACGGCATTTACACGACAGCATCCAAAATTGTGTAATTTTGATGTCAGGCTGATCTGGGTCAAGCTCTTTAATGTTTATCCACCATAGTTCTTCTCTCAAAAGTATTTTGAATAAGAGATCTTATTGAATTTGGGGGCAGATGAAATACAAGGTTCGGATCATCATCATCATAAATGTTTGATGTCTGTACTCCACCACTAACGACTCTGTTTGGGGCTGTAAATTAAACGCCGTTTAGACATCAGGTTTGAGGGCGTCGAATGGTTAATTTTATCTTGGTATGTGCATTTCTTGTATCAGTTGACTACGCTGTACTAGCGCCAAAGATGGGATGTTTTGAATGAGTGAGAGAGGGACTAATATGAAGCTGATTTTACCCCAAACAATACGATTACAAGTTATTATGCATAATTATACAAACAAATACACAATTAAACACATACGGACTTAATAAGTCTTGTTTATTTATAAATACATATTTTACAATTAAAAATCAAAAATCCCTTTAAACCAGAGAGGGCGGCGCCCTATCGCCCTATATTGACCAGCTGCCCCTGCTGACATTTAACAACATAGGCTTTAAATATAGGCAATACGTTAACGTCGTGGAAGGTTTTTTTTCCCCATCTTTTCATTCTATTTTGAATGTTTTGCACTCACCTGGGTAAACTCTTCTGATAATGCATGGTAGGCACGATGCTTTTGTGCAGGTACTCAGATAAGTCGACATCCTTACTGTAAGCCCTCCCCTTCGGCAGCAAAGCGGCACCATGATGGAAGAATCTGGGACTTTTTCTAAAAGTGCAACTCAGGTGCCCAGAATACAAATATGCCATTGTGAAAGTACACTTCCGAAAAATAAATCACGAAAACCCGAGTATCATTCCCTCCGTCTACCCTGTAAATATTAGTCTGCCAGCCTGGGACAGGTTACTGGGGCACCTTTCCATATCCCCTCGGCCCGACAGCAGTTCTGGGTCACTTTGGCCTGCCAAGAGCATGCGCATTACGTACCAGCAGACAGGGGGGTCGAACTAATATAACATCCCATCTCTCCTGTCCTCTCTTTATATGGTCAGTGCAGTACAATATAAGGTCATGGCTTTATCTTGTAGAGAACAGCAGCCTATATTTATCTCAAAACAACTAACTATTAAAAACACCATGACGACAAGTTTTGCGGTTAATTCGATAACAGACACTAATACTATTTTAACTGTCAAGTATACTTTTTCATTTCTTGTTATATTCGCGCTTCGGTCTTATTGGGCTATATTTTTCCACGTGACTCTGTGGCCAATCAGAGTCATTCTATGACCGACGTGTTCCAGGGACGGGAACCAAATAAACCTAATTTGAAAGTATAAAATCGAAATTGTACGTTTTTTCTTTTATGCTATTAAAATCGCGTTTTTGTTACCGCAGAGATATTTCCCTTACTGCTAAACGGAGACGATTGGATAACTCTTTGTCATCTACGTATGCGGCAGTGTTGTAAAGGGCCATTCTTAAGGGGCGCAATGCATTATGGGATATCACGTGTCACTAGTGGTGTCAGGGACCGGCTCCGCTGTCACTGAACCTTCGATCAAAGGTGCTCCGCAGTCCTGCAACACGCAGCCATGGCTCCCGCAAATAACAGGGTGTTTGTGATCGGCGTAGGGATGACGAAGGTACATCCGACAGCTCTAGTCGACACATTTAACTAACAGAAGTCTAACTAGTTAACTAGCTGGATAGATCAGAGAATCAGCTAGTAACGTTACCAGCGTATCTCACAGAAGTTAATTTGCCAGTGTGGCAACACATTGTTTTCGTATAAAATCTTGTACTATCACTCATTGTATGTTGGAAGTGTAATCGAAATAAAATATTGCACAGTGAATAAACATTTATTCTCAGCTCTCTATATTTGCTTTAATGTTACATCGATGCTGCGCTATTTCGGGATTTAATCGATCTGATACTGATTGCCAAAGGAGATATGAACGCCTTTGAAACCTCACTTAAATATCAGTTATTTTGGCCTGGTAAGATTAATCTGTTTCAATGTAATTTACAGAAATCAGGATTATTCTTTTCTAGTTTACGCAATCATGACTGGTGAAAGCTATGCACCTTTTTATACTTTATCTGAGAACAGTCATCTTCGCTCATCGTAGATTTTCTGCAATACTGGTTAATGGTCCTTAATTTGAGACTCACCTGGACACATTAATTGGACCCATGACCGTAACCTTGTTCTGTTTTATTGTACAGTTGAAGTTCTTTATCGTAACGCAAAGTTCAAGGTTTCAGGGTCATTGCAATATTATGTAAAACCGTGTTGAATTCTGATGTAATTCTTAAGTAAATTAATTAAGTCATTTACACTAATATGGGTCAACATTGCTAATAATTTGTTGATTAGGGTTCTTTTAAATTTATTGTTGTGATGGTGTAAACAATTAACCGCTACCCATTTTTAGAGAAAGTTTGTGTTGTTTGCCTTCTCAGTTTGAAAAGCCAGGAGTAAGAGATGAGTTTGACTACCCAGACATGGCCAAAGAAGCAGGTAAACATTAACCAGACAACCACCCAGACTGAATTATGTGAACTTAGTAGCTGATGATTAATGCAATCCAACATCCATCAGTGCTTTTCAGTCAGCGTGTCACGGAACATTCATAAAACATTGGTGTGTAATAATGCCCCAGTTATTTTGTGACGTTTCGGGCGGCGTGGTGGTTCAGCAGGTACCACAGTGCTCGCACACCACTTGGGTTGTGAGTTTGACTCCGAGTGTGTGGAGTTTGCACGCGTTTCCGCCTTGCTTTCTGTTTTCCTCCCACGGACATCTAGCCGGACTGATGTCTCTGAATTGCCTGGTGCATGATTCTGTGTGAGCGAGACCCTGAGATGGATGGGGCCCTCATCTGGGGAGTCCCCTGCCTCAGTCCCTGTGCTTCCTGGGACAGACCCTAGGGTCACTGCCATTATATATCATGCACTGTGCAGTTATGGTAGACACACCAATAGATATTCCAGCTTTTCCAGTATAAATTTAGGGCCGGGCAAAATATCGATAAAATTTCGTACTGTGATTATGAACATTCATATTGTCCTCAATTTGAGTATAGTGATATAGCCAAAACACTTGTTTTTTTTTGCATAATTCACAGTTAGGAGTCAAGGTAGGAGTCTGCTGTACCCGTATCTTATCATTATGCCTGTCACATACTCCATAACTATTAGTCAGACAATTTGATCCTAATCAGAAAAATATTTTATTGTTTTCTACATATGAATTTTAAAATATTGTGAAAAATATCAATATTATTAAAATCTTGTTGAAATCATTGTAATACCATGTTTAGGGAATGTTGCCCAGCCATAGTCAAATCTGTTCCCTGGAACGAGCAGCAAGGGCATTCAGAGTAAATACCCAGCAGCAAAATGTACTTTTCTACCATTAGGCTGTTAACCGAAAAGTTTATTTTTGTATGATTTATTTATTCAAATTAAAATTTAGTTTGCAGTCCGTTCAAATTTTTTTTCGCCTTTTTCATCTTCTAAATCTATTTAAGGGCAATTCAGAAGGGAATTTTTAGAAAAAATGTAGCATCAAAGTAAAGATGTAATGACTTGAATTATTTTGTGATAAGTATCAATATCGTTTGCCATGAAAAAAAATTCACATTATAAAATATTTTGCCATATAGCCCAGCCTTCTCTATATTAAATATAGATATTAAATAAACAGCTGAAGTTAATCTATCTACTCACAGTGTCCTTTTTCTTCTTTGTTCCAGGCCAGAAGGCTTTGGCAGATGCTGCCATCCCGTACTCTGCTATAGAGCAGGCCTGTGTCGGCTATGTGTACGGTGAGCTTCCAGTACACGTCTCTCAGACTGTCGCTGTTATAGCGCTGCACTGTCACCTATACACAGCAAAATATGATGCCAGACTGTCCGCTTAGCTACTTGCTAAGCTAACAAGCCAATCTGTACGCAGGCTGCTAACTGCTAATATGTCCCCTTTGTCTGTGGGATACATGAAAGTTATGGTTGTCTGTAGCATATTGAGGCCCATGGTTAACGCATGACATCATCCCAGTGATGTCATAGAGCATTATGTCTAATGAGGGAAATACAATTCTTTCTATTGTATCATAAGTTAATTCAGTAGATCAAGACTTCCTCATTCACCCTAACTCCCATAGTTCAGTCACCCATCACATAATTGATTAGCATATGGTTGTTTTATGTATAAGAATTTGTTTTTAGAAGGTAGAGTAAACTATGGAAAATGACTTGGGTCAGTTTAGCTGGGGCTTTCATAAATCAATTCTCAATAATGTTTTTGTGTATTATCCTTCCTCGGTATTGGATGGGGGCCAGCTGGTTGAAAATCGCTCCCAGTCATGGAGAGTAAACACAATTTCTTGGCTGGTTTTTCGTGATTTTAAACTGGGCTTATTGAAGATTGACTGGACTGACCTGTTCTTTCTGTGTGCATTTTGGGTCGATCACTTCCTCATGCCATGAAAGAAAGATTTAGCAATCTTGCTGGGTCCGCACCATTCTATGGCAGTAAACAGGAGTTGGGTTTTTGAGGCCTAATCTCACCTTACTTTTGCCAGGTGATTCGACCTGTGGGCAAAGGGCCATCTACCACAGTCTGGGCCTGTCAGGCATCCCCATCATCAATGTCAACAACAACTGCTCCACGGGCTCCACCGCCCTCTTCATGGCTCGCCAGCTGGTGCAGGGAGGTATGGAGGCGCGAGCGCAGAGAAGCTAACTTCCCACATTCTCCTTTCCGCTAGGTGACAAAGCAAAATTCCTGCTAGCGTTAATCCACCTGTTCCCCATTTGCCTAGGTCTGGCCAACTGTGTGCTTGCCCTGGGTTTTGAGAAGATGGAGAGGGGCTCTCTGTCTTCAAAGGTATTAAGGCCTCCCTTGTAGGGTTTGGGCATTGTTGTGCATCATGGGATGCCCTTGCATGGTGTTTCTTCGGCTGTCCCTTGCAGTACATGGACAGAACTAATCCCATGGACAAGCACATGGAAGTGATGCTGAACCGTTATGGGATGGCACCGGCTCCAGCTGCTCCCCAGATGTTCGGCAATGCAGGCAGAGAGCACATGGAGAAATATGGTGAAATGAATGCACTCGATAATATTTTCCTAGCACACTTTTCTGTCTCTGTTGTGGATGTAATTTTCTGAGAATGTTTTTGGTTATTTATTCAGAATCAGAATCATTTTTATTATCCCACGTATATTTCCATACAAGGAATTTGCCTTGGTGGTGAGCCTGTGTCATTCCTATACCCGTTATGACCTTGAAAACAGAACATGAGAATCTTAACCTGGTTGTAGCTGGTTTCCTTAATCACCGGTGCTGTCAACGGACAGATGAGCATTTAGATTTTTCTTTTTTTTTTTTTGCAGGTACCAAACCTGAGCATTTTGCCAAGATTGCCTGGAAGAACCACAAACATTCCACCAACAACCCGTAAGCATCTGTATAAGATGCCATGTAAACCTTTGTGCTAATATTTCATATTTCTTCACTTGGATAGATCCTCTTGTGCAGGTCTTGTTGTCATGCTAACTGCAGTTCAGCAAACTTTCTACAGCATCTGAAGGTCAACATCAAAATTTGTCTTCTGTGCTTGTGCGTCAGGTACTCTCAGTTTCAAGAGGAATACACTCTGAATCAGGTGCTGAAGTCAAGAAAGGTCTATGAATACCTTACCTTGCTGCAGTGCTGGTAAAGGAGCCATTTCCTACTGGTGGAATCTATAAAAAACATCCCTGCAAACTCATAAGTGGCAGAATCTGTAGCTGAAAACTCTGAGTGTGTTTTATGTGACAATTCTGCTGCCCAATACAGCCCAACATCAGACGGTGCAGGGGCGGCCGTGTTAGCCAGCGAGGATTTCGTCATCCGCCACGGCCTGCAGCACAAGGCGGTCGAGATCTTGTCCCAAGAGATGGTGACAGACCTAGCCAGCACCTTCCAAGAAAACAGCTGCATTAAGATGGTAAACTAGCT